ATTTAAACCATTGTAAGCCCTTCGAGGCAGACATTATTGAATTGAATAAAAACTTTCGTGAGTTTATCTCATATTTGTGAGGTTCTTCATCTTTCCTATAATCTTTCGCTACATCACAAACGGAGCCTTAATAATTAGGAAAATGCTAAGTGTACATAATAAAAGTATATAATGAATGACATAATGTGATGTGGTATTGTGGCAACCATCCTGTCGTTGATGTGAAAGTGTCAGATTTGAATTAAAGGTTTTGTTCAATACCACTTGTAATTATGTAGACCATTATGTAGACAATTATGTTCTTGTAGCATATGGTGTCAACCTCTCTCTCTCTAGAGAAGGTTATAAAATACAATATTTTTCTGTAAAGAAAATAGATCAAACATTCAAACTAAAGTTGGACATATTACTCGACTAATCGGTTTGACCCAAATCGATCCAATCCAGGTAGATTCGCGGAGAGATCAAGTCGATTTCGGGTTAGCTTTGACCCATCTTGAAACCCTTGATTTAGGGGTACTATTTTTTAAGAAAATGATTTTTATGGGAAAATACCCATGAAACCAACAATCTACCATCTCGAAACCCTTGATTTAGGGGTACTATTTTTTAAGATAATGATTTTTATGGCAAAATACCCATGATACCAACAATCTAAATTGACCTAAAATGATTCCGATCGATTTAGGTTGATTTAATGGGTTGGTCATGTTGATTTTTCAGCTGGAATTTCATTCAGCTCGAAAAGTGAGTCCGAGTGGTTTGCTTGGGTTCGAACCTGATCCAACATGTACTGTGCCACAAATTCAAACATTCAACTCTTCCAAGGAAGATTGATGAAACTAATCATTCAAAAAACACTTGAAGATCAAATATTTTTCCGTCACAAATATCCTATCATTGTGATTTCACCGCAATCAAATACTTTTACACTATGCTTCAATAAACTCACGAAAAGCCTTTATGATACTAGCATGTCACAAAAATCACGAGCAACCATTGATTCGATGCTTCGAATGAAACCAATTCCAAAAATGTGACGACCATATGCACATAGCCGTCATATCCACCATGGAATGCTGATCCACTTTCCTATATTCATTCATTTCTTTCTACAGAAGGTCATGTACATTATTCGCGGAGAGTGACGTGTTATTTTTCTTCTTTCTTGGATTTGGGTTTCTTCCTTAACCCCCAAGTTTCAGGAACAATTTTCTTCTAGAAGTTAGCTTCAACTCTTTCAAAATTCTTGTTTACTGCCCGAAAATTTTGTTACCAGATTAGGAAAGTGACCAAGAAAAAGCATACGCGTCAATTGATTTTCATTTGAAAACAATTGAACAAATAGAAAATGGAAGCTAAGATTGGGAAATTCTTCGAATCAGTTGGTGATTTTTTCACCGGTGGTGATCAGATCCCTTGGTGCGAGTCTGACATCATCGCTGTAAGTACATATATGTATGTATAGCTTGTGGAATTTTAGGGATAATTGTGAATAAAGCTAGGGTTTTTAAGTTTGGGAATTCTTGTATAGTCTGTGGGATTATAGGGATGATTGCGAATAAAATTTGGATTTAAGTCTGGAATTCTTTGGTTATTGTTTTATTCCCGTCAATAGCTCATTATATGAGTGAGTTTTGTGTTTTGAAAATTTAAGAAGTAAATAAATGGAAGATCTGGTTAGAGGAGAAGATGAATGTGATTAATTTGTGTTTGATTGCGATAGATGTCTATCATTTATAAGAAAAATTAAAATGCGAAACAAATGGCAATGAACTGCTGTCATGGATAGGAATAGGATAGATAAAATACCCAGTATGATGGAATGTTCATTAACCTCTGAACTAGACCGACCTATATAACAATAAATTCCTCAATTGTTTACGCATAGGACTTAAATAAACTAGTGATTGCAGAGATTAAATTATAGGAAAGAATAGAATATCGAATTTCAGAGATGATTACCTTTTCAATTCGTTGTATTTTCTCCTTATGATAGAAAAGATTGCCAGATTTTGTGATTGGAGGATCATATGGTTGATATGAGAGGAATTGAATTGCTATATTCATGCTACTTTGAATTCTTTCCTGAGTACTAGAGTATGCATTGGTTGGAACTCTTAACATTGAAAATAAATGTTCATCCAGTAGTTTGAAACTATTATGAAGCAGTTTACATGTATATGCACTTCTCTGAAAGGTAAATTTAAGTGCGCTTTATTGTGGCATGATGGGTGTTTAATTGCATATTGTCATGCACGTCCACTTGTTCCTTTTGATGTTCTCCCCGTTTATTTTGGCATGTTTCTGCATTATGCATCTTCAGGGTTGTGAACGCGAGGTTGCTGATGCTGAGAAAGGTTCCTCGGATGAACTTAAAAGTGAATCCATCATGCGATTGTCCTGGGCCCTCGTTCACTCAGAAAGGGCAGAGGACGTCCAACGTGGGATAGCGATGCTTGAAGGTGTAACCATTGTACAAGGATCTCTCTGTGTGTGCGTGCCTGTGCTTGGTGCATGCTTTTGTGTGTGACTTGTGAATGGTAAACTAGGTGATATTTTTCATGATTATAGAAGTTATTTGCAGCTTCCTTGGCTGGCAGTGGCAGCAGCCCACTGCAAGTGAGGGAAAAGCTCTATTTACTTGCTGTTGGATACTACAGAAGTGGAGACTATTCAAGAAGCAGGCAGCTTGTCGAGCGTTGTTTGGAGGTCTTATTAATGCTTTCTATTTATTCTGAAGGCTTTAAATCTCTATGAACTGTTCTAATTGTCAGAAAGGAAAGTTGAATATGTTTTTCGGTTTCATGGTCGAAAATTGCTTTCATCTGGTGACTTGTAAGTTCGCGTGCTAAAGTCGGTATCAATTTGTAGGTAGCACCTGACTGGAGGCAAGCCTTGAGCCTAAAGAAAGCGATTGAAGATAAAATCAAAAAGGGTAACTTGAACTCCAAATATTTGTCAATATTATTTCCTCCCTAGTATGCGTTTGTATGCAAAAAGCATGCACATACAGCGATTGAATGTTCGGTACACGTTATTGCGCTAGATTGGACACTAAACTGTCAAGATTTTATTTTTTTTCCTCAATATTGTGCAGCATCATTCAGTACTACATGCTATGTAGACTGCAGAAATTAATTTGTCTATGTGATTCTTTGTTATGCATGCAGATGGAGCAATTGGCATTGGCATTGCTGCGACCGCAGTTGGGGTTTTGGCTGGTGGCATTGCAGCAGCGGTGGCAGCAGCTCGCAAGAAATAATCTACAACGTGCAGTGCATCATGTCTTGGTTGAAATTCATGTTTGCCGCTTATATATGCAGCTTTCGTTTCTGTAAAATTTTAAAGTATTTAAAATCAAGGTACTTGTGCATTTGCACCATCCTTTGATACACTTCTCACAAGAATAGAAAATGTGTGCGCATAACCACGGATTCTTTTATTAGTTATTTACTTGTTTTTGGTTAAATTACTTGTTATTTATATATTTATTTTTATTTTACTATTAAGAACATAGCAAACTCAACCCAAACCGAGACTTTGGATTACATTTGCAACAAAGTAGTAAATATCATGAAGCTATTGTGTCATAGAGGTAAGAATTTTTCATCATCTATCAACCTATGACTTCTCTACTTTCTCCAAGCTTGGGTTCGGGATCATTTATAAGGAATACATCTGGTTAAAGAGTGTAGGTAACTGAACGATGAATTGGTAGATTCGTACATGGTTAACCTGAAAATGTGACATAATCAGAGTTTTGACACATCCACAACTCTACAGAGGCTTGGATTTTGAAGTTATTAGCAATTTTGTTTTGAGCAGCAGGACGACAAGAGAACTAGACACAGACGCACAAATCAGGAGCGAGAGCCTATAGACATGCTATGCGAACAAAGGAAAAAATGGAAAGAAACGGCAATAAAAACTGAAGTTACATTTGCATATGGAATTTTTACATGGAAGCTGCTCATGAGAGCTAGCAGCCTACTAAGAATTTACATTTCTCACTCAAACCTCCACGCGAGGTGCTTCAAGTTAAAAAAAAAATTAAAAGCACAGTAAAGCCTTAAGAATGATAAAAGGTTAGAGAAAAAGAAAAATGATTAGAAAATCCCACAAGCAAACCTCTATGCTCTTTATATGGAAACCTCAACTTCCAATTTCCAAAAGATGAATGCCAAGCCTACTTGACCGATATGATCTTCCCTGTGACTAAAGCAGAAATATATTGGGAGGGAAGAAAAAAAAAAGAAAAACATTTACATATAGTATGCAGTGTCAATGCAACAAATCCTCACTTCCGATGCCAACGCTCGACTTGTCTACCATCCGTACATTGTAGAGTTCATATACTCTTGCCCGGTTTTCTGCCCACCATTGTTCCGCTTGTTTCTCACTAAATCGCTTTCGACTGCATTTAACCATTTAAAAACACATACTTTAAGAGAGCAATTTGTGGAGAGTATTTGTTCAGCTAAAACAATAATGTTTCCCTTTACTTTTGCAGTGTGATCACACAAAATTTATGTACATCAATATTACACATCAGCACAGGTCAGGCATAGAGAAAAATCCTAGGAACATGGCTTGACAACAAACTTTGAGCTCTGCACTTGAGATAATTCTATTTCTTTATTCAACAAGATTTTTGTCTAGCTCTCTCATAAAAAAAGCATAGTCCTTGTGATAATATTAGCTCGTGGGAAGCTTTATATTGTCGTATATTCATCCTATGGTTTCTAAAGTTAAGAACAAGTAACTAAGACTTCTATAATTGAATTCCAAACATTAATGAAATTAACTTTATATTAGAGACTTATGACAGCCTGTAGAAAAGACACATCACAGCCCCAGACAACGGGCCTGGAGATAAATTTTTTGTAATTCTCACTGCATGCTTAGGCCTTAGAACCATGGACCAGAAGCCCAAGCCTTAATGCATGCACTACGGAACAAGAATATACAAAACTAAATTCAGCTTTTTCGTTTTAGGATGATGAGCATGTCTAGGATCAAACATATCCCGGAAAAAAACATTGCAAGTCATAGCTATTACGTCTAAAATAAAGCTAGTGTAAAGCTCAATGCAACATACCTGAATCGAACTCGCTTTAGATCTTTGAGACCTCCAGGTAAAGAGGTGAGGGTGATGTAAACACCAGGCTCGTCCTGTTCAACCCATTCATTCTCATTACGAGAATCACTTTCCCTTGTTTTGTTTCCATTTCTTGTCATTGCTTCTGTGTGACCTTGTTTGTTGTGACCTAAATTCCGATTGCTAGCAGTGCTTGCACCATGAGAAAGTAAGTGGTTGTCAGATTCATTTGACTCCAGTTCCATGCCATTTGTCTGCCCATTTACACGGTCAAGAGAGGCATTTGAAACATCATTATACACAGAATTGGGGCCAAGAGAAGTGAAAGGAGGAGATTTGACATTTCGAGCAGAACCCACAGGAAGCCTTTCAGCCATTTCCTTCAGCTATAGACAACAAACTACTTAATCAGAAGGCTATCAAAAGAGGGTAAAATAAAATTGCAGCAGCAGACTTTTCAATCCATTGATGTCTAATAGCTCATTCCTATCTTCCTATTTGTCAAAGCACCAAAAGACGGTTCAAATTAATAAAAGGATTATAGGAACTGCAGATACACTTAGATTGATTAGTAGCAGTGAACAAAATAGACTCAAAAACTGAAGCCAAACAAGAGCAGTAGTTCACAAACACTCAATTGAATTATATAATACAGTAGCATATTGCAAGCCCACCTTCAACTGCATCACACGGAAATCATTTGATACTAAACCATAATTGTGTATCTAATTGCAAGAGAATATTTTTACCCAAATTTTTCCAAATAAGTCCTGTGCATAAGTTGAAAATAATAGCGCATTTAGTGATCATACTAACTCTTCTCCCTTAATATGGTTAAGTACCATTGACGCCATTGATTTGAGCATCAGAATTTAGCAAATTTTTGAAAATATATACGTGGTAAGGAGTAACATTACATTAGGCAACAAAAACTACATTTAAAATTTTCAAAAACAAAGATTAGATTTAAAGACAAAATATCTATATGAAGATCAGGTATATTCCTATAGGGAAAGGATTGTGACAAGAGCTTAAGGATGTCTTTATGACAATATTTTACACTTCAAAGAATTTAAACATCGATCAGTAGCCACAAATCATGATTCAATTAAAATTTTAAGGTGCGAATTTTCTTGGTTGTAAAGTGTGAACTGCATTATCAACCTAGATGGCTATAAAAATGTTTAATGTTTGAATCTCACTTCACTGGTTAAATAAAAAGTGCAGATGAGTCACTCTGAACAAAAGGCTACTCTTACAAGCTTGAATCATGGAAACCATCCATGCAGCATGGAGAATGTAGGGTAAAGGAAGTAATAAAAGGTGAAAAAAAGACATACAATACCAATTTTTCTTGAATTTCAAGAGAACTTTTCTTTATGTGCATATGGCCTTTTTTCAAGGTGCTCACACTCACATAGATTAATTGGCTTTGTTGAAATTTGGAAACCATAGTCCTAGTCTCCAAGAAATTTGTATCATTCCAGATAAATCAAATACAACATATCAGATTTTAAATGCATGCCAATCCAAATTTCAGGCCACAGTTACCTACATAGATTGCAAGACTAGTTGCTTCACAGCATGGAGCTCTTTCAATATTAGTAAATTATATTACTGGCAAACTGATGGAAAAGCATGGATAGATTCCACATCATATTTTAGCTATTTGATAAGAAATATGTCAACTTCAACATCCTTCTAACTATATAGTACTGCTTAACTCTCATGAATGCCCAACGATATTTAAAGCAAGTAAGCAAACAACCAAATATTTAAGGCTTGAAGACTAATATTAAATAATATACACGTTCAAAAAATCAATATCTAACAAGTTCTTAAAGCACCTTTGTGCATGATCTAGGCATTTCTTAATATGGTCATTGCCCCATTTTAACCTCATATAATTTTCATCCATTCTTCCATAGCAATTGAGATCATATCTCTTGATGCAGAACAAGTAATCAATAAAGAAAGCACCCCCAATAAGTAAATTCCATCCTTAAAGAATGGGCCAAAAATGCTTCCATAAAAAATATGGTTTGAGATGCCTAAAGGTGTTTGTCTTAATTGTGCAGTAAAATAGATGACTAAAGGTGTTCGTCTTACTTGTGCAGTAAGAGACTTTATCACTTCTTTGGCTGCTTTGCATTTGGCAGTCTCTTCCCCTGCAATTGCTATCGCCTCCTTCAACTGTTTAGTAGTTTTTTCTAGCTCTAACTCTTGAATTTGAGCCTTCCGAGTAAGATTCTCCACCTAAGACAAAGAGTAGTAAGACATGAAATGCAAGTTCATGACCTCAACACTGTCTCAAATCTTCATTGGGTCACGGCAGGTATGTATTATCCAATAACAGTAGATAAAGCCTACGAACTCAACTGAAATCAACTTACAAAGCCTTATCCAGTATAGAATACTGCAAAGTTCCAGCTTTGGAAATTAAAAATGATAAAGCCTAACAAACGCCAAGTCTTCCCCCCACTGTGAAGATAGAAGAGGGAAAGCAAAGGCAGCAAGAACATTTATACTGTCACATGTTATTTTCTTGATGAACAATACCCAAATCTAAAACCTCATTATACGATTTTCTGCACAGAACGAAAGTGCTTTTATCATTCAGAGTTGGTGCAAAACCATTAAAATGAAATCATTTGTCTACATGACCATTGAAGTAATTGTATCACCCTCTTCAGCTTTAGAAACGCATATATTAAATACACGTGGAATGTGATCTGAACTGTTTCCCCCACCCCACCCCGCAGCTCCGCAAACAGGAAAGAGATTTTAAGCATGAAATTCCATAGAATATATTAGCTTTTTATAATGCATCATAATATACGGTATTCAAAAAGGGCATTAAATAGAAAGCTATTTGGAGAAGTTATGGAAACTTAATCCATATCTATTTCTATCTTTTGTGTTCATATTATAAAGCAGGAGCTCTCTTCACATCACCAATTCCTTAAAATAACCAAAGACGACAAGACAGTCGTTTATGATGTAGCCACCAATCATTTGAAAACCGTCATGCCCATTTCAAACATATCAATATCAATACATCCCCTAACCAATTCATTGTTAAGCTATCACATAGAAAAAGTAAAATAAAATTGGGTAGAACGAAACAGAAAAACAAGAAAACTGCAGCATGAGCAAATGCCAAG